TTTTCTTTGCTGTGCAGAGGTTTTTAAGTTTGATGTAGTCTCACTTATTTATTTTTGCTTTTGTTGCCTTTGCTTTTGGTGTCAAATGCAAAACATCATTGCTAAGACCAATGTCAAGGAATTTACCCTTATATTTTCTTCTAGGTTTATGGTTTCAGGTCTTTAATCCATGTTGAGTTAGTTTTTGTGTATGGTGTAAGACAGACGTTCAGTTACATTCTTTTGCATTTGGCTTTCTAGTTTTCTCAATACCATTTATTGAAGAGACTATCTTTTCTTCGTTGTATATTCTTAATTCCTTTGTAGTAAATTAATTGACCATATATGCATGAGTTCATTTCTGGGTTTTCTATTCTGTTCCTTTGATTTATGTATCTGTTTTTATACCAATGCCATACTGTTTTGATTGCTATAGCCTTGTGATTTAGTTTGAAGTCAGGAAGTGTGATGCTTCCAAATTTGTTGTTCTTTCTCAAGATTGCTTTGGCTAGTCAGGGTCTTTCGTGCTTCCACACAAATTTTAGGATTGTTTTCTCTATTTATGTGAAAAATGACATTAGAATTTTGATAGACATTGCACTGAATTGCTTTGGGTAGTGTGAACATTTTAACTATATTAATTCTTCCAATCCATGAGCATGGAATATCTTTCCGTTTATTTTTGTCTTCTTTGCTTTCTTTCATCAATGTCTTACAGTTTTCAGCATACTGTAGTTTTGTAGTAAGTCTTGAAATCATAAAGTGTAAGCCTTCCATTCTTCTTCTTTTTTCAAAAAAATTTTGATTATTCTACTTCCTTGGAATTTCCGTATAAGTCAACATAAATTTTAGAATTGTCTTCTCACTTTCTATCAAAAAAACCTGCTGAGATTTTGATTAGGACTTTGTCAAATTTAAAGATCAATTTTGGGAAAATTACCATCTTAACAATATTGTGTCTTCTGGCCCATAAACGTGATATATCTCTCCATTTGTTTAGGTCTTATTGAATTTCTCTCAGAAATGTTTTATAGTTTGCAGTGTATAGGTTTTTTGTTTTCTTTTGTTTTTTACAATTCTTATCATATAATCTCTAAATATTTCATTATAAATTATATTTTTATAAAATTTCAATTTCTAATTTAGTCTTTGCTAGTGTATAGAAATACAGCTGATTTTTTTGTAGATTGTTCTTGTATACTGCAACCTTGCTAAACTCACATATTAGTTTTAGTAGCCATTTTGTAGAATCAGTTGGATTTTCTACATAGATGATCAAGTCACCTGCAAATAAGGAGAGTTTTACTTCTTTTCCAATCTGGATTACTTTTATTTCTTTTCTTATCTTAATATACTGCTAGAATCTCCAGTAGAATGTTGAATAGAAGAAGGAAGGTTGATATTAATCACCAAATCCACCATTACTATAAATGAAAGTCCATAGAGATGGTTTTAGAAACCTTCCAAGTGATTTTAATATTAAGTTGGTATTGAGATCTATTAAACCGACTGATGGATGAGTGGTGTGGTTCTGTGCCCAGGAACTGAACCCAGGCCACTGAAGCAGAGCATGCCAGACTTTAACCACTGGGCCATCAAGGCTGCCTCATCTCTGTTTCTTGCTTTTGTTTCTTTCATCAGGTGAGTATCCATTCCAGATTGACTTTCTCCACAAAGCAGGAAACTTGGCTACTGATAGTTCCAGGCTCGCATCTTCCCAGCTTCACCACCTGAGAAAAAAGAGCTTGTATTTCCTACCTCAGCTTAAACAAGCCTGGTGAGGTCCTCTGGTTGCATTGGCTTAGGTCATGTGCCTACCTTCAGGACCGATCTCTTTGGCCAAGGTGTTAGGTTTCTGTGACTGGCATGTCCAGAGTTAGGCGTACACCACGGCAAGGGAGGCAAAGTCCTAAATCACCCATTTAGGCTACATGTCAGAGTAGGGAATGAGGCAAGGGGAGTAATGGTGCTCCATAAGGAAAGTGAGTGGTATCTACATGGCCATGGGATAAATTACTGGGAGCTTAGGCATTCTCTGTTTTTTGCCTTCTACAGTTCCTAAGATATTCTTTCATGATATTTTACTACTTCTTATTTTAAAGATATGAAGTGGAGTAAAGCTCTAAAGAAGTGTTATCTTGCTGGGCACTGCCATATTCCCTGGGACTCAGTTATGCCATTCCCTGCCAGACCTATCTCATCTGCTTAATGCACCCTCCTTGGTTTAGTGCACTGACATTGCCAAACCTCTGCTGATGCTCTCCCCTTCGGCGTCTGCTATAGGGTTCCCCTACCTCAAAGAGCCCTTTCCCTCGACTGCTGCCTGCCAGCCCTTCCCACCCTACCACATCACACACAGGTGTGCAGTGATCATTCTCCTTCCTTGATCATAAAAGCTTGCCAATCAGACAGCTCATCCAAGAGGGAACTCTCAAAAATTATGTTAAATCTGTGCTCATAGACTAATGTGAGAGGGCTAAGAACTTTGCTCCCATGCAAGGAACACTTGAACTGTTAAATTTCTGAGAATAGGCACACAATAGATGCTCAATTAATATTTGTGACATTGAATTGAACCTGAAGAAATGAATTTACTAATGGGAAGTAGGTAAGGTAGAAAGGGAAGAGGGAGTCCAGGGTAAGCCATAGGGGAGCTTTACACCGGCAGGTAAGCTTGAACACAACAATGCAAAAATCACTGTAACTAAATAGCTGCTTTACACTTGCATGAACCTGCAAGAGATTTTCTATGACAATAACAAGATGAAGAGTTTATTAATGCTTTCTTTTCACTGGGTCATATTCTGTTGCCAAGAATGTTAATGTTACCCTCTACTCGAACTATAGTAAACAACCGCTTACCATTCAGACTTTGGGAATGTGAATGTTGCTACAGCAAAATAGTTACTGACAGACATTTATCTCTTTCTGAGCCAAGAAGGATAAAAACTACACAAGAACAATGGAACCCAATGACAGATGGGGCTGAGGGTTGTCAGGACCCTATTGAGATACCTGTGAACATGCTGTAAATGGGCTTCCTTGATTAATTTCTCAAAGTAAATTAAAGCAAGCATACACAACATTTGTATTCCCAGTGCCTAGCAATGCATTGGCAGAGTTAAAAGCTGAATTGATAGTGAAGGCTTTCTTCCTCACCTCCTCTTACCATTCAATTGTAATTAATTGATTAATCTGTCTTCCCCTCAACATAGGGTTATAAATTCTGTGATGGCAGGGGTCACATTTGTCTTGTTTACCCTCATTGCTCAGGACCCAGTACACATAGTAAATACTTAACAAATATTATTGATATGGACATGAAATGATAGGAAAGCAGGAGAGACTGGAAGAATGATTGAGCTCCTACTTTGTGCCAGGCATTTTGATAGGTGCTTATACATTACAGTAGGTACTTCACTTTTATTCTCCATGACAACTCTGGAAGATATGTATTATTATTGTAATTTTACAGTTAAGAAAACTGGGAATGACACCTTATATTGTTGGTTATCTACTATTTGCTGGTCCTATGCTAGGAAATTTACATACATTATCTATATGTGGATCTTCAAAGTACCATGGAGTATTTTTCTCCATATTTTACACATGTACAGAAAAAGCTGGCATATAGTTAATAAGAATTGATGCTACGATTTAAAACCGTATCTTCTGATCACAAATTAAGTGCAAATGGTTAAATGTTCACTAAATGAATCAATGGGTCAATGGTTCTTATTAATTAATTTATTGATTTATAGGTATTTATTTGCTTATAAAACTCTTGTGAAAAGCAACTTTGCCAGTAGCACTTATCCTAAACAAAAATAACCTCAAGATTGTTTTTTACCTGAAAAATAAAAATTTGTCCTTGAAAATTTCTTCTAAAACTTACCCTGGCCTGTACATGCAACTTGTATCACGTTTAAATTATCTCTGACATAATTTTTCAATCATAATTCAAGAAAATTCTTCATAAGATCTTTAAGTAATACATTGCAGTATTTAAGAAGCCAAATTTTTAGTAAATACATCCTCAATGAAATCCATTTCCTCTCCTTTTCTTAATGGGAAATGCAATGATAATAGATTTTAAAAATCTTATCCTTTATTTTACAGAATAGAATCTTGCCTCTATGTTCAATGTTATTCTGTAAATAAAACAGAACTTATAAAGAATAATTTTAATAGCAACAGTACTATTTGTAACATTTTTTCATCTCTTGGTCTTAGGAAAATATTCTAATAATTTAGCTTTCTGAAATTACACACCCTTCCGTGTCCTGGACCCAGGCTCTAAAGCCTTCCTCATTTTTTATTTATCCTGCCGGTTAGCCTCCTTTACTGGCACTTACTGACAGCTCATTTCTTTTCCTACAACAGTCCTCTATTAGAAGGTCTTCCTTTTCAATGGAGCTCACAGTTTTGGAAGCTGTGGGCACAAAATGCTTTTAAGGTCCTTTGGATGAGCTGAACCAAAAAGGGCAATCAAAGTGACACATTTTGCAACCAGATTGCTCTCTAATCCATATTTAATTTTCTAAATTCTGCCTGAAAATTCGAAAGGTAAAATTTGATTACAAAATGTATTTCACTTAGGGCCAGCCCGGTGGCGTAGTGGTTAAATTTGTGCATTCTGCTTGGGGTTCACTGATTCCGGTCCTTGGCATGGATCTACTCACCGCTCATCAAGCCATGCTGAGGTGGTGTCCCATATAGAAGGGCCACAACACTACAACTATGATACACAACTATGTACTGGGGCTTTGGGAAGAAAAAAGAAAAAAAAAGGAAGATTGGCAATGTTAGTACAGGCCAATCTTCCTCAAAAAAACCAAAACAAAACAAACAATAC